AAAGGAAAGAAAGAAAAGGAAGAGGAAAGAAAAGAAAAGGAAGAGGAGAGGAAAGGAAGGAAAGAAAGAGGAAAGGAAAGAAAAAGAAGAAAAGAAACAGGAAAGAAAGAAAAGGAAGAGGAAAGGAAAGAAAAGGAAGAGGAAAGGAAAGGAAGGAAAGAAAGAGGAAGGAAAAGAAAAAGAAGAAAAGAAACAGGAAAGAAAAGGAAGAGGAAAGAAAAGGAAGAGGAAGAGGAAAGAAAAGGAAGGAAAGAAAGAGGAAAGGAAAGGGATCCATTAGTCATCCAGCAAGGTAGACTTTCATAAAAGTAAAAAAGTTCCATTTTTCAAATGGAAAACTGAGTAGTCTGATTGTAGCTACGTGCAATTAAGGTCGCAGAATAACACAGGAACTGGCTAACCAAACTGATTGCTTCCAAAAACTCTATAATTTATAGAAAGCTTGTTTGGGTGGCGGGGGAGAGATCACGTCCCTCCAGAGATCAAGGAAAGGCCCCTCCCTCGCTGGCCCTTCCCAGGGCCCTAGGGGAGGGCTGGTTCTGTGCCCAGCCCTGAGTTCCCCAAGGTGTTTGTCTTAGTGTTGTTGACCGTGTTGTCTTTCTTCAATTTTTGCATGGGTGCTATAATTGATTTTATTCTGTTTATTGCTCAGTATCCCCTAAGCCCCTTGCCCAGAGGGGCAGCTTGACCAATCGACTCGAAACCTAAATCAAAATAAACACATCTCCATTTATATTAAGTGAGGAATCAAGAACAGGAAGACTCTTGTTTTTAAACACGCACAATCCCGCCGTGAAAAAAAAAAAAAAAAAGGACGCCGCCGACAAGAGTCCCTTTGACGGTAACTCCATCCAATTGAAATGTTGGGTGAAATGAAATCTTATTATTTCCTGCCGGCAAATTTTAATGACCGGAAAGGCAGTTCGAAGACACAATTAAGATTTGAATTTAGGGACCACAGGCAGATCTGGGCTAAATTAAATATGCTCACTGCATGCTTCTGTACAGTGTGGAGAATTTTGGCAGTTACACCCCCATTTAAATCATGAGTCTCGAGCCAAACTTCCAAAACTTCAAAAGGATTTATTGGGAGTTAACATGTCCGGCACTGCCTGGGTGTAGCCGACTCCGAGGCACATCATTCATTGTCACCCTTGACCCTGGTTCCCCCACCCCACCCCCAACTACCTCCTGGGTATATTGTAATTCATATTCTCCAATGGGACACCTCCATAGCCAAGAGTCATCAATCATGCTCTCCAGTTAGAATTTTGCAGAAATTTCGGCTTTCACCTAGTTACTATCTTTGAAAACATTTATGGAATGCACTTTTGGTTTCCAAGCTGCCATGCTGCTCCCCCTCCCTTTCTGTTGGCAACTGTAAAAAGACCATAGAAATATTTTATGAGTTGGCACAGAACATGCTATAGAGCAGGGGGGTCCCCAAACTTGGCAACTTTAAGACTTGTGGACTTCAACTCCCAGAATTCTCCAGCCAGCAGAGTTGAAGTCCACAAGTCTTAAAGTCGCCATGTTTGGAGACCTCTGTGCTAGAGCATATAATCATAGGGCTGGAAGGGACCTTGGAGATCCTCTAGTCTGGGGTGGTGGGGTCAGCAACCTGTGGCTCTGGAGCTGCCTGTGGCTCTTTCACCCCTCTGCTGCGGCTCCCTGTTGCTGGTTGGCTCCACAACTGATAGGGCTTTCGGTTAGGACAGGTAGAGGAAAAAGGACGCCATGCTAGGAGGAGACTCTATGGTTGGGGGGGAACTGCCATAGAGTCTGGTCGGCTCCAGAATTGAACCGGGGTGTCGTGGCTTCTGGTTAGGACCTGTTTAAGGTTGCATCCACCCATTACTTCTTCTCCTGTCCTCTCTGCTGCATTGGAGAATACGTTTGGCCCAATCCTGCATTAAAGCATCCGGTCCGGGGTTCATCTGCAGCGGAGGACAGCTGGCAGACAATCACAGAATGGAAAAAAAACCTTATTTTTAAAGATGTCGATGCTGGAATGCATGCAAAAACATCCTTGCCTAGTTCCAGCAAAACCAGATTCCTTCACTATGAAACTGCCCCGTCTTCCTTTTTTTTCCCCTTCCTTCCTTCCTTTCTTTCTTTCTTCCTTCCTTTCCCTCCCTCCTTCCTTCCTTCCCCTTCCTTCCTTCCTTCCTTCCTTCCTTTCCCTCCCTCCTTCCCTCCTTCCCCTTCCTTCCTTCCTTCCTTCCTTCCTTCCTTCCTTCCTTCCTTCCTTTCCCTCCCTCCTTCCCTCCTTCCCCTTCCTTCCTTCCTTTCTTCCTTCCTTTCCCTCCCTCCTTCCCCTTCCTTCCTTCCTTCCTTCCTTCCTTCCTTCCTTCCCTCCTTCCCCTTCCTTCCTTCCTTCCTTTCCCTCCCTCCTTCCCCTTCCTTCCTTCCTTCCTTCCCCTCCCTCCCTCCTTCCTTCCTTCCTTCCTTCCTTTCCCTCCTTCCTTCCTTCCTTCCTTTCCTTCCTTCCCCTCCTTCGTTTCCCTCCCTCCTTCCTTCCTTCTTCCTTCCTTCCTTCTTTCTTTTTCTTTCTTTCTCTCATTCACGCCCCCTCTTGATAACTCACATGTAAGTCATCTTCATCCCTATTGTTTTATCCCTCTGGGATGGAAACTGGAATGCTGGGGCACCATTTTTAGCAGGGCCCTGATGACGAGCACGGCCCTTTTCCCTTCCCTTCCCTTCCCTTCCCTTCCCTCTTCTAGATGTTCTTCTGAATGTCCATCTGGAAGGAAGATCCCAGGTTGGCTCTCAGTGTGGAAATTTATCCATTACAAATTTAGCATCTGCGTTTGGATCGTAGGTACGGACTATTTTAAATAGCCAATGTGGAATAAGGAGATTTGGGGGTTCGGCTAAGAGAGTGAGATGTAAGGAGACATCCAGAAAACATCCAATTGGACGTATGGGGTGGAAATCCCAGCCGCAGAAGCTCCTTTGGGCCCACCCAACAGGATTGTTGTCGGGTAAAAAAGAGAGAAGAAAAACCTTGAAAACTCTCAAAGCTTGTTTCCCAACCTTGGCCAGTCGAAGAAAATGCGGACTTCAACTCCCAGAATTCCCCAGCCAGCTAAGGAACAAATTTTGCTAGGATTTCTGGACATTACTATCTCCAGCTCCTTGTGATAGGCTGGCAGCAGGAGGCGTGCAACCGATCCGCCTCGGCGAAGCCCTCGGCCCGAATTCTGCAACCGAGAGGCTGAATTGAGTAGCCGCCCTGTCTCTTCAACGCCTTTTCCTGGAGGACTATGTGGGTCAAAAGGATCCATTGAATGGATCTGGGTGATCCTGTGGCAGATCCTATCACAACTGCTGCAGTTGATTCAGCCCTGGCATGACTGGACCTGCTTAAGGCTGATCGCTTAAAGTAAACCCTACTTGTTTCAGGTTTATTCACTATTTCTTATTTTAGAACACAGAACTTACCCGTGCTTTCCCCAAAATAAGACCCTGTCTTATGATTTATTTATTTTTTGCTACCCCCCAAAAAGCTACCAGGTCTTATTTTCGGGGGATGTCCTCCATTGACTAACCTCACTTGCGTGTATCATCCCCGACCTCCTTTTTGCTGTCAGAGGCCTTCAGGAACTTCTACGGCTGGCAAGGCTTTCCTGAAGGCCTCTGTAAGTGGATAAGAGAACTCAGGATCGATCCAGAGCTTTGTTCTCAGCTCCAGAGGCCTTCAGGAAACCCTTGCCAGCCTTGCTGGCTGCAGAAGAAGAAGGCAGGCAGGTGTCAGGGTGTGCGAGGCCTGGCTACAACTTCCCAAAGGTAAGTAGTAGGGCAACTCCACCCAGCCCCTACATCCCCAGCCTAGCTTAATTTTTACCTATCTACTCTGGAGTGGGCGGGATCTTAATTGGAGCTTATTTTTTTTGGGGGGGGGTAGGGCTTATATTGGGCGCACATGTAAAAAAATCAAGCTAGGACTTACTTTCAGGGTAGGTTGTATTTTCAGGGAAACAGGGTAAAATAAGAGGTCCTCTTCTCCAACCCCTCTCCCCTGGTCAAGCCGGAGAACCTATTCCATGTCGGACTGTCTCACTTAGCAACAGAAATTTGGGGCTCAACTGTGCTCATAAGACCTGCTCATGGCATGCAACTACTTTCTTACAAAGGCATTCCAACTGAAGCATGTAAGTTCATGGGCAGTTTCTCCTTGATCGGTCAAAGATGGTTTATTCTTAAAAGCGCGGCTGTCTCATCTGGGGTGCCAAATGTTAGCAAAATTTGTAATTTCTGGAGTCATCTGATGCTCACCCAGATTCTTCTCAGCCAAACTTCATCCGTCCTACTTTAAGGGCCCTCCGAAAGATAATAGGGGTTGAGCAAAAACTCACAGTGCGTTCATTTTGGCCTGCTGTTGACTCTGAAGACATGGTCCTTCCTAGACATCCTCCTGGGCTTGCTAAGTTCTCCAACCCCTTGCCTTCTTTTGGTCCAAAAAGAGGGGTGACTATTTTTTTGGGAGGGGGGTGACTATTCCTGAGTGATATTTCCCATCATGCACGTGGTTGGCATGCTTGGCAAGGTTCCCTGCTCGGATCCCGGCACGTCACGCCGGGCACTGGAAACTGCAGAAGTCAGCCGATTGGAAGAAGTGGTAAACGTTCACCAGGGGGAACATCAGCACAGCTCCGAGCAGAGACCCCAGCTGCTCCACCGCACCGTACCAGACCAGGGCACTGTGGCTGCAGCTGCGAAGGATCATCCCTAGCATCACCTTGACGTAGGTGAGGGTTCCGGTGAAGGACACCCAGGAGATCACCTGTCGAGAGAACGGAGAGAAGGTGTGGGTGAGACGTTGCCAGGTTGAGATCTCGGAAGATCTCCAGAAGTTGCCGGTGGCTCCATCACTGGAGGTTTCTCAGGAGACACTGGACAGTCACTTGTCTGAGATGGTATAGGTTCTCCTGCTTGGACTACATGACCTACAAGGCCCCTTCCAATTCCTATTCTATTCTATTCTATTCTATTCTATTCTATTCTATTCTATTCTATCCTATCCTATCCTATCCTATCCTATTCCATATTCTTATTTCTT